GAGTGCTGGGATTAAAGGGGAGTGCCACTGCTGAAACTGCTTCTTGATCAACATTTACAATATAATTTTTCTAAGTAAAAAACACCAGAGAAAATATATTATATATATCTCCAGTTGACAAAAGTATGATAAATTGGGTTGGAAGGCTAGGGGAGAACATTCTAGTGGTAGATTTCTCATCATTTGGGAAACTATTGGAGAGCATGTATAACAGTGGGTCTCAAACTTCATAATACTGTGACCCTTTAACATGGTTCCTCATGTTGTGGTGCCCCCCCATAAAATTATTTCATTGCTACTTTATAATTTTGCTACTGTTATGAATTGTAATGTAAACATCTGATATGCAGGATATCTGATACGTGATCCCTGAGGGGGTTTGACTCACAGATTGAGAACTACTCACTGATCTGTGATGTTCCAGAGGTACCACTTTTAAATGTCTAACTTAGAGACAAGCACCAAGAAACATTAAATATCATCCTAACCCTCCTAAACCAGAGCTACATAGCAAGACTCCATCTCAAAAAAAAAAAAAAAAAAAAAAAAAAAAAAAAAAAAAAAAGATGAAAGAAAAGAAAAGAAAAAAGTCCACTGGTTTAAATCTTTGATCTATGCACATTTTGCAGGATGAGGTGGGAGGATTTTGAGTTCAAATCAGACTGCAGAGTAAGACACTGTCTAGAACCAACCAACCCACATTTTAAAACACCGAAGTACATAAATAAAAAAGTACAGAACAGAAACCTAAGTTTTTAAAATTTATCTTATTTTATGTATATGAGTGTTGCTTGAACATATGTCTGTTCACCACATGCATTCCTGTTGTCCATGGAGGTCAGAAGAGGGCACCCGATACCCCAGAACTGTAGTTATGGATGGTTGTGAGTCACCATGTGGATGCTGGGAAGCAAACTTGGGTCCTCTGCAAGAACAAGCGTTTCTAATCACTGAGCCATCATCTCTCCAACCCCAGAAACCTAAGAGTTCATCAACATGTGAGTGTATTAAAATATGCATTAGAATATAAATTACCTGGAGGAGGAGTTTATCAGACATCTCTTTAAACATAATTATTTGAGAAGAAAAATATAAATAACTGATTATTACTAGTGATAGGTAGTGTTTTTTACTTTCTATCATGTTTTATACTTTAATTTAAAAATACATTTATTTTTGAAAAGAAATCTAAAATGTAGAAAAGATAACACATAAATATGTTCAGGAAAGCAAAACAGTTTCAATAAAAGAAATAGAACTAAACTGTGCTCCCAATGAACTATGCAAACACAAACTCACATATAGGAGAATATAAACAGAAAATGTTAACTGTAGTCATCTCTGAGTAATAAGACTGTTTTGTTTTCTTCTTTGTACATTACTCTGTTCTAATATAAGAAAAAAGACAGCAAATCATAAAATGTAAACTAGTATGCTCCAATTAAACTCATAAAACTATTGTTTTTCAGATTCTAAAAAGCTTAAGGCCAGCAAAATGACTTAGTGCATAAAAGTATTTTCCACTGAGCCCAATGGTCTGAGCTAGTTCCCCAAACCTATATGGCAGAAGGAGAGAACTGACTCCCAAAGTACCCCATACACAAATAAATGAATTAATTTTAAAATTCTTAAAAAGATTATACCAAGTTAATTGTCCTAGTTAGGATTCTACTGCTGTGTAAAATACCATGACCCAAAAGCAACGTGGGGAGGAAAGGGTTTATTTCACCTTATGGAGAAAGGTTCCTCCCAACAAGAACTCAAGGAGTGAACCTGGAGGGAGGAACTGAAGCAGAAGCCTTGGAGGAATGCTGCTTACTGATTTGTCTGCCTAGCTTGTACTGTTTGCTTTCTTATACACCCAGGATCATGTGTCCAGGAGGACAGGCCCTCCCACATCAATCATTAATCAAGAAAATGTCCCACTGACTTGCCTATGCAATGTTCCTTTCCCTAGGTAACGTTGGATTATGTCAAGTTGACCAAAAAAGAAAAAAAAAGGAACCAAGGCATTACCATAGCCAGTTTAAATTAGTATCCAAAACCAAAACCACACAGCCAAAAGAATTTATACAGCTTTAAGCTTCTAATTTTAAATGTTTAGGCAACCACTGAGCTAAATCTCCAGCCCTGGGAATATCTTTAGTTTTACATTTCTGAAGACAGTTTAAGTCTCTATTTCTAGCACTGTGACATCAGAATAGATAATAGTCCCTTTTCTATGCATCAGATAAAGTCACTTGAAAAATCTTCATATGAAATCTTAATTTATATTGTAAAAGGAAATTATGTATAAAGGATGATTTGAGTGTAGGAAATGTCAGAAGTAGGGCTACACACAATGTTTATGTAACACTGTAATAAAATGTTACATATGAAAATTATAGAACACTACTGAGAATTAGGAACCTCAATAGACAGATGCACAATATCAATGTCTTAGAAAATGCAGCATTTTGTAAGTTCTCCCCAAACTAAACTAGGAAGTTGATACAATTACAAGTAATATCAAAAGAAAACTATTTTCTGAAAAACAGAAATTAACAAGATGGAGGTAGGAATGTAGCTCAGTGGTTCAACTCCCAGCATCACAAAAATAAATTATAAGTCAAACAAGGTGATTCTAAAATTCATGTGATTAAAAAAAATGACTTTGATTAGTCAAAACAATCATGAGATTGCTCTACCTGATTTCAAACCAATTATATTTAAAATAATTAATATTGGCAAAAGGAGAGGGAATTATTACATCACTGTAACAGATAGTCCATGAAACAATCAAATGATTTTTCAAAACAAGGAAGTCAAGGTAGGTAAAAAGGAAAGTGTTTTTAAAAAAACACTGAAACAATTAGACATAAAGAAGGAGCGCTTCAATTTCTACATTATACCATAATAAAAATTTAATTCAAATTGGATCATAGCCAGAAATACAAGAACTGAAGTTATAAAGCTCATACAAGAGAAAATATAGGAATATATCTTTTCAACTTTGAAATAGTAATTTTTTAGGACACAGAAATGCGATCATAAAAAGAAAAATTAACAATCTTGCTGGGCAGTGGTGGTAGATGCCTTTAATCCCAGCAGTTTAGAGGCAGAGGCAGGCAGATCTCTGTGAATTCGAGGCCAGTTTGGAATACAGAGTGAATTCCAGGACAGCCAGGACTTCCTGTCACCATGCTCTCTGCCATGATAATAATGGTATAAGCCTCTGAACTGCAAGCAATTAAATACTTGCTTTTTTAGGAGTTGCCTTGGTCATGGTTTCTTTTCACAACACTAGAACAGTGACTAAGTCAAAAGGTGTTGCTGGGACTGGGGTGTGGCTGTGATAGGCCTGACCTTGCTGTACGCTAAAGGAATATGGAGAACTTTGGAACTTTGGACTAGAAAAGTGACTGTATGCTTTAAGTGAAGGTTTAGTGGGCCATCCTAGTAGGAGCATGGAAAACAGTGCTGAGGGCGATTTGAACTGTGGAGGTCCATCGCATGACATTTTGGAAGGAAAGAGTATTAGTAAGTAGCCTAGAGAACATTCTTGTGATATTGTGGCAAAGACTTTTGTAGCTGCTTTTTATCTTTTTCTAAGAATCTGCCTGGAGCTAAATTGAAGAGTTTGAGATTAATGGCATTGTCAGGGATTTCCAGAAAGCTTAGTACTGATGGTGTCATGTGGTTATTAGTAGTCACTCTTTGGCAAATCCATAATGAAAAGAAACATGCTGGACAGAGAAAAATACAAAATGTACAGTTTGAGAAAAGAAGCATCAGTAAATGTAATGGAGCTAAGTCTAGTGTTCAAGGAAATAAAAAGTTGAAAGAAAAATCTGATGCTAAATGGAAAAAAAGGAGTGGTGACTTCAGGACAAGACCCTACTCAGGTAAGCTTCCAATTTATAAAAAAAGGAATTAAAGGAAAGCTTAAGCAGCAAATGAAACCATCAGCAATGGAAAGCTGATGCAAATATTATTCAAGAGTAGGCCAAGTTCCAGCTCCATCAAGCAACAGAACTTGGCAGCTTCACCTTCTGGTTCTGGCTTTAGAGGCAAGGATAGTTAGGGGTTGTAGAATCACCTTCCCTGGCTAAGTTGCTGAGGCCAGGAGTGTATCAGGGTTGTGCCTGCATGAAAGCCCAGAAAGGCCATTTCGTAAAGCTGTGAAGGTGAAGCCTGGATTGTGTCGGAGACCCCAAGATGTTGGAGATGCTAGAGCCTTGAGATACCTGCTAAGAAGAGCTGCAGATTGGATGTGGAGCCAGCCCAACAAAGAGAAGTGTATTGCAATCAACAAGGGAGATCTGAACAGTCCTTTGACCAAACATGGAGAACAGAATTTTGAGTTTCATTGCTGATTTTGAGTATTTCCTCACTATGCTCCCTTTTCTCCCTTATGGAATGGTAATGTATGTCCAGTGCCACTGAATGTTGGAAGTATGTGACCTTCATTTTAATTTTGTTTTACAGGGGGTTACAGACTGTCAAGAGTCTCAGAAGAAACTTTTAAACAGTGTTGAGACTGTGATAGACTATGGGGAGTTTTTAAGTTGGACTGAATGCATTTTTGCATTATGGTATGGCTATAAGCTTATGGAAGCCAGGAAGTACAATGTGATGGTTTGAAAAGGAAGGAGTGAACCCCTTATAGGCTCACATATTTTGAATGCTTAATCACTAGAAGTGAAACTCTCTAGAAGGATTAAGAGGTGTGGCTTTACTGGAGGAAATGTGTCACTGGGGGATGGGCTTTGAGGTTTTAAAAGTCCATGGCAGGCCCAGCATCTCTATGTCAGCTGCCTATGGATCAGGAAGTAGCTCTCAGCTACTTCTCTAGCACCATGTCCGCCTGTACACCACCATGCTCCCCACCCACTATGATGATAATGGAATAAGCCTCTGAAATTGTAAGCAAGCTCTTCGTCAAAATTAAATTACTCTTTTTGTTTTGTTTTGAGACAGTCTCATGAGGCATGCAGTCCTCAAACTCAGTATCCTCCTACCTGGGCCCTTGAAGGAGTATGCTACCAATCTTAGCTCCTCAAAATTCTTAAGCAAGCCCCCAGTTAAATGTTTTCTTTTGTAAGAGTTGCCTTGGCCATGGTATCTCTTCACAGCACTACAACAGTCCTGAAGACATAAGGCAAAAGAAGAAACACAATGAGCTACAAAAATATTATGATATGCTATCAGAACTTATTGTTAAATGTTCATTGTGGCTGTTAACAAGCAATGACTTAAACAGGGTAAGTAAAGCCCCATACAAATGTTTGATTTTGCTTATTTAATTGAACAGAGTGCACTAGCCATAGTAATATGTTATTGAGACAATTTCATATGAATAAACAGTACACAAAACTGAAGTTTTAAAAACTCTCCAGTCGGGGTGAGGGGAGGGGAGGGAGAGGGAGAAGGGACTTGAAATAAGCTTGTTCCCTAACTAGAACTTAAAAAAAAAAAAAACTCTCCAGTCTATTAGGTTTCCTATCAATTGTTCATTTAAAACTCACAAGTAAACACAGTGATAATATAGGAAGCTTGAGTCTGTAGGCCATTTGGATCTCTAATGAGTTAAGAAAATTTAAATAAACAAGCTGAAGTGATTAGCTTAAATCAGCCTGCACTATGCAGTGAGTTCTAGTCTAGCCTGGGCTATAATATAAGATTTTGGTTAAAAAGAAAAGTCCCAAAACAATAAAAACAACCTTTGCCATTTTAAGCATTAAGTAGTTAACTTTCAGTGGCATTAAATACATCCACATTGCCAGGCAGTGGTGGCTCATGCCTTTAATTCCAGCACTCTGGAGACAAAGGCAGATGGATCTCTGTGAGTTCAAAGCCAGTCTGGTCTACAGAGCTAGTTACAGGACAGCAAGGGCTTCACAGAGAAACTCTGCCACCAGGAGGAAAAAATAAATAAATCATGTTATTGTGTAACTGTTACACTGTCCATTTCCAGAGCCTTTTCACAATCCAAACAGAAATACTACCTGTTAAACAGTAACTTCATATTTACCACTGCAGCTTCTGGTAGCAACTTTCTTACTTTGTCTCTATGCCTTTGACTACTCTGAGTACTTTCTACAAGTGTAGTCAGTAAGAAATAACATGAAAACCAGCAATCTACTCCAAGCTCCTCATTTAACAGGTAAAGAAATTAAGAACTCAATAGCTTACATATCATACTCCATGAATACTACTTTTACTAAAGAAACAGTTTGGGATAATACCAATGTTAGCATTCACAACTTCCAAACCAAAGCAAATGTGCACCTCACATTCTGTTGACCTTGTTTCTAGTACATTAAGCATCCATCCATCCATCCATCCATCCATCCATCTATCTATCTGGAGAGAGCCAAAACCCAGCAAAACCAAAACAAAAAACACAATTATCCTCAAAGATAATGGTTAAAGACACCTGGCCAGAAAACAAAGCATTGAAAACTATAAAAATATTCAAAAGATGCCTGGCACTCCACTACTGTCAGCCAGACACTAACTGTAATCATAGTGGGACCTGAAGAGTCTTGTCAGTTGGACTACTAAATAGAGCTAATACTCATCACAAAGAAACAGCTACACATAGTTCTTCATTAAAATCAAACAGAAGTGAGTAGCAATCCAAATACCACAAAACGTCTGCTAAAAAAATGAATTAAAAAAATCATTATGAAGCTTTGGAGACATTTTTGTACTTATTTCAACAGGGCTGCCTGTAACTGGTGTCTGGAAATCAGTTCACACCCACAAAAAGAAAAATAATAGATAATTTGAAGAGCAAATTCAACAAAGGCTTTTAAAGGGTATCCTTATTTTGCCACTTCTCCAAGGTTCTTCCTAGAGAATTCAGATTTTTGAGGGGAGGGGGCTGGTTTTGCAGACAGGGTCTCATTCTGTAATTCAGGCTGACTGCAATCCTCTTGCCTCAGCCTCCTGAGTGCAGAGACTACAGGCATGATCCACCATGTCTAGCTCCTGAGTCCAGCTCTTTTAGGATAATCACCACCTACATGTGGAATGTCTTCCTCTCCAACTCTACATTGTTGAAATCCCACCGGTCCTTTTGAAATCAAAATACATGATGTACATGTATGAAAATAAGATGAAACCCATTGTTATGTAAAATTAATATGTGCTAATAAAACATTATTTTTAAAAGAAATAGTATCCAAACTTTTAAAAGGCTCCGCCTATATACTGGCAGCTTCCATAGATCTCCCCCCGCCCCCGACCTCAATGTAGAATTAACCTTTCCTTCACTGCCTTATGCTATGTCTCTACAATGTACTGTTACCAATATTCACTTCTGACCCACCCTCTCATAATGTCACCACCCCACCCCCAGCAGTAGGAAAAGGGAATTGACATGTATTGAGCAACTCAGAGGCAAGGAGCTACCAATTTTACAAACATTATCTCATTCAGCCTTAACAACAGTCTGGAAAGGTAAACAGGTGGTGTATTGCTGTCTACCTGCAGGGAACTACTGCAGAGTCAATGGCTTGCTTATCCACTATCAAGTTGCTGGCCGATTCCAGCGTATGGAACGAACGTTGGTTTACGATGTTCCAATGCGCCACTCAATGTTGTGGGAAGTATTCGTTTTGTGTCTACCACTGTACCTGAGTAGGTTTCCACAATTTTTTTTTCTGGCTTCAATATTCTTACGAACACAATGTCACCGTTTAATAATCGAATCACGTCTCAACCCTAGCCCGCTACCTTTATACAGTTCCTGTACGGAGGACTTTACCTACTTGGGTGGCTCTCCACTTCTCCATGAGAAATGCTGCGGGTAGCATCCACCCCAAACTGTTCTTCCCACAGGATGTATGAAACGCAACACAGAGGAAACATGCGACTCCTGCATCATTTGCCAAAGCTCTTATTTCACACTAAGTCACATCTTTATGCCTACATAAGGATTAAGCCGTCTCCAGTTCACACAGTGGGGCCATTCTAAGACATTGTCTGAGTAGGAAAAAGGGTATCTTCCAGGCGGCTCGAAACGAAGGCATCCTACCGATACTAGTAGGCAGCCTCCTCCCTTTTCTGCCGTCCTCCACTGAACTGCAGTTTGGATTTCCGGCGGGAATGTACGCGGAAAGATGAGATGGGGCTAAAAAGCACTAGAGCAATTACTTTGCCGGCTTAATTAGAAGACACAGAAGGCGCCCCGCCTGTCTAAATCTCTGCATTGAACTCATCAGGGAAGACGGGCAGGGCATGGAAGCTAGAAC